GCGCCCAAGACGCCAGTGATAGGCAGATAAATGGACGCAGATAAATGAGCGGAAAGCGGCTGGAAAGGTGGAGATACGGGGCGGAGGGACATGTAGGTATACATATACGCACGGTTGTTTCTCGACGTCTGCCACCGCGGTTTCGCAAGTGATCCGGTGTTACGTAGCGGCCGGCCGGATAAAAAGGGGAAAAAGACAGCGCGAGTAGGACGATTTTTTGCGAACCGTTTTCTTTTTTACGCCTGGTCCCCGTATCAACTCTGCCGCGGTTTCATATGAGAGAGTTTTGTCGGTCTTGAAATTGTTCATCGACGTTGAGACGCAATGGTTCGGTCATCAATGAATCCTGAACGAAGTTGTATGTGAGAACACTTGGAGAATTATTGACTACTGTAGAAATAGGTTTTGTATACTGTTATTAGGCAGTTAGCTTAGGCAAAGTATACACTTGGAAGACTGTATAGTACAGTAAATCGTCGATCAGTGTCCAAAGGCTCCTCGGTACTGACAGAAGAGGTCCTCAGGTGTAACGCTGACTTTTTAATGAGGTCTGGTACAGTGATAGAGCGTGGAATTCTGAAGCCAATGATATTTGTTTCAGCCGTGTACGGCTATTAGTTAATGAAATATTTAATGTTAAGTGCCGAGAAGGCTTTGGACAATAATCGAAGATTCACTGTACAACTATAAAATTCATGGAGTTCTAAGTGGAGTACGCATTGAAAGTATTGTCCTCTGATCTAATACCTCGTGTTAACGCAATTCACAGTCGAGGTCTCCATTGACGTCAAGGCAACGGTTGAAGAGGCACGAACCGGCCGAAACATTGTCTTCGGGAATAGTTTTCGCGTTTTTATCGAGACATCTTCCTTGGTCTTTGAAACGCGAGTAATAAGTAGCTCGTATCACGCAGGAATCGCGATCAAGGTCCCGGACGATGAGGCACGCGATAGATCGTGCTCGATTCACGGAAAACCAAGCGCGTCGTCATCGTGAAAACGCCGGCGCGGCGTAGATTAACGCGTAGATAACTATCATCCATGCATGAGTGCGTGTAGAAACGAGCGTGCTCGCGTTTCCGTGTATCGTGATACTGGTGCGTGAACAGTGAAGACTCGGATGGGGGATGAAAAAGGAAAATTGTGACGGAGAAGCAGCTTGGACCCCCCCTAAAGTCGCAGACATCAGTATGCGGATAAACACGGAGCGAAAGGCGTCGTTGGTGGATCGATCGTACGGTACGTCGTCTTTCGAGTGACAGTATTATCTTATTCCCGGGGCGTGGGAGTTGACTGATCGATGCGACAGGCTAAGGGGGTAGTTCGATCGTGTTCCTTGGCTGGGGGATACGTGAGATAGCCTGACCCGCGTTCTTCTTCTGGTCTCAATAATAAATAACCAAGAGATCCTCGAGGGTTGTCTTTCGTTTCAGGGACGAGATTCCCGCGGTACGACTGACGTCGATAGAGTGTATCCCCTTGGCCCCCCAATGGCTGCCCGAAAAATTCGAGGATTTCGAATTCACTTCGCGTGCAGCTTCCCTTCTGGTGCGCGACTTTCGAATCTCGTTTCGACGCGTTGGCATTCCCGGGGCCAATGAGGAGAGATCGGCCACGTTGGTCGAGCGAAGACGAAGAAAAAGGAACCACCACGCCCAAGGTACGTGGCAGGAACGCAGAGAGACGGAGCGGTGTTGGTACCTATGTAGCCGAGGCGTCTATGTGTCTATCCACCGGTGTACATGTACACGGTCGTCCAAGACGGTGTGCACTTCGCGTGTACAAGTACGCCCTGTCTTTCTTGCCAATCGCGATTTCTCTCTCTCTCTCTCTGTGTTTCTCTCTCTCTCTTTCCCAAAGAAAAAGAGATGCGTGGTCTCACTTCCCTCGATCCTCTCCTGGCTCTCCTTCCCTCGCTTTCTCTCGTCTTTCCCTCCCCCTCTATCAGTCTATCTCGCTCGTTGTTAGCGATCTCTCGTTCCCTTCCTTCCTTTCCTCGTCTTCGTCGTTTTCCACGGCTGCAAACACAGAGAGAGAAGGAGGGAAACCGTGCCCTGGTGAGAGCGAAACGGGAGGAAGGAGGAGACCAAGGGAAGATGGAAGAGTCTGAAGGCTCGAGGCGCCATGTTGCTGGCGATGACAAGAAACCCGATGCGACGGTAGCCGGGCCAACAGTGCAGGCACAGGCGCTTGCTCGAACGACTTGATTGGCCGATTACAGATTATGCACGGTGCACCCTGCTGCGACCGAACGGCCGCGAGCTTCACCCGCCGCGCGACTCGCCGCGCTACCAGAGCCTTTGCTCGTCGGGAAAAAAGAGTACCATGGGAGCCTGAGATGGTGGTCCCTGAGCTTCCTAGGGGGGAAACTACGATTGATTCTCCGAGGACTTGAACCGAGAAGTTAGCTTCGAGTATTTATTATGAAAACGTGGATTCTGTCGTTTGCTTATGACGGTACTTTTTGCCATTCTAGGAAATAGCTTCTCCATAACTTTTATATAGAATTGTTCGAGCACAGAGTTTCCCTATTTGCTAAAAATGCTCCTAGCAAGTCCTCTAGAAATATGTCGCAAGTATACCTTGCCCTATGATTTTCTTGACGTCTGCAGTCTCCAGGATTACTTTGTCGTCAATAGTTCTCCAGAAACAAAAGGAATTCTTGTACTTATCGCAATTGTACATTTACTCTATAAGTTAGAAATTAATATCAGCAAACTAGTATTTCACTTTGACTCAAAGAAAACGAATAATATTTACGTTTGTTGAATCCATTTTGATATCGTCACCAGTAGTCTGACTCGATGTTATAAGGCAAGGGGTGAACTAGGTTCTCCTAAAAGTCCTCAAGAGATCAATAATTTCAGATCCTATCAGTCTATTTAATCTTATTCAGCTCTCGATGGACGCTGGAAGATAACGAAAGAATGCGGAAGATTGGCTTAGCAGCGCGAGACCCCTGCCCCAAACATGTCAAAAGGCTAAAGACTTTTTTTATAGGTACGCGCGCCGTGATACACAACTGCGTATCGCGTAATCACGGGGTAACTGGCTGTCGTAGCTCGTTGATGTCGTCGCAGGGGGTCCCGGACCGGATAATTTCATTAGCCTGAGCACCGCGGGAGTTATTCCCCTCTCTCTGACCCAACGAGGGAATCGAGCGCGACGCAGCCTGATGAGTAATCGCGACACTGCGTCAGGTTGTTTGGAAAATAACGATGCACCTTCTGTCGTCACTTTCGAGAGGAATACGTCTATTATCATTGTTAGATCTGCATATCATTTTCGCGAAATATTAATGAAATAATAACAAAGATCAATGTATTCGGAATATCTTCGTAACTTCTTGGACAACAGGGATGAATACTGTTAACTCTTTAGGGTTAGGTGAGTTAAAAACTGTCCCACCTTTTGCTTAGCTTTTTATGCATGGTTGGATATATTTTAACCCACCTCGAAAAGTTGAAATTACTCATAGTCATACAGTTCAATATTTTATTTTTATATAATTTCTTTTATATTAAAAAAAATTCTGTGCAATTAGGGTTTTTATTTTCTTTAAAAAGGTGATGAAGATTTTGTACTTTATGAATCGGATTCACTGTATCAAACTGGATTATCTCGCGGTACAAAGGAGCTACTGACACCGTATAAATATTCTTCATCGAACTCGGAGCTTTAGAATTTTCAACAACTCGTCAACAGCGAATAATTGAACGAAACACCCCGAACGGTTAATTGGCCCGGATAATCCGGATCCCAGGTCTCCCGATAAATCGGCAATGTACGTAGAACCGCGTGGTGGTTCGCTCCAATTAGCTTCGAGCCGCGATTAGGGTCTAATAAATCGTTAATTGGAAACCGTGGGACTATCCGCGAGAAATTCATGGCCCCCTGGAGAAGGCTACCGCCAATTAGCTTTTGACCACGAGTTCCCCCGCCCGTTCTAATAAATCGTTAATTGGAAACCAGCCACGGATAATTAGCGGAAAGTCTTTCCGATGTCCTGCGCGAAAAGCTGAAAAACCCCGACGACGATGGCGACGGTCCGATCCCGTGGAATATTTATGACCGTCTCGTTAGCCTTTTCTGCCCGAGTTCTTCCTCTGTTCCCGCGCACTGGACACTGCAACGCAACCCTATCCGCCGATGTCCAGGGCGTGGCGGATCGGTGATTTAGTAAAGTCATTTGTGCCGATAATGCTGACAGATGTCGTCCATCGAGGCTCCTGTTACGCTGGACCAGCCGTGAAACAGGACACCATTATGGTCGCGGGGGGGGGGGGGGGGAGGAAGAAATCGTCGATCTCGGCCGGATCGAGGTGGAGATCCTCGAATCTTTTATTTAGATCCATAGAAAGGCAATCATGCTCTATATTTTTGGTGGGAAATTATTTCACAGTAAATGAAAAGAGTGGAAACACCCCTATCCATTAAAATCTTCAGAATAAGACTACAGTAAATCCTCGATGAGTATTCGAAGGCTCCACAGGACTGAACATTATATATTTCATAAACTAATGGTCATTTGCGACTGAAACAAATATCATTGACTTCAGAATTCCAAACTCTATCCTTGTGCCTCATTAAACAATCAACGTTACACCTGGAAACACTCCTTGTCAGTGTCGAGGAGTCTTTGGACATTCATCAACGATTTACTGTATTTTTCAGTTATATAGAATTGTCTTCGATATTATGTATAGCCTGAATATGTCTGATCTGTTAAATTTTAGGAAAATATCAAGCGTGCAGTGAATATATAACCCGTAGTTTCCTTAGAATATTTTATATATCGGTTAATGGTACAGTGATTACAGACGGTATTAGGACAGACAGCTGCTTAATGACAGTGTGAGTAGCTCTTAACCCTTAGGTCTTCAACAAGAACCACTTGATCTTGTGTTACGTCGTGTCTGCATGAAAATTCTCTATTTTGTGAATCTGGATGTTCGATTCGCCGGCTGTATGAGTATCGTAAGGTGTATTGACAAAACTTACCTGCGTCTGCGTCAGTCCAAGGCTCGCCGCGAGCTCCGCTCTCTCCGGTAGCGCGAGGTACTGCGTCCTCTGGAACCGCCTGTTGAGCTGTTGCAATTGCAGGCTACTGTAGATCGTCCGTGGTTTTCTCATCTTCTTGCCTTTACCGTTTCTCAACGAGCCACCGCCGCCGCCGCCCAGTTCGTCGACGAGGCTGCCGCCCTTGTCGCCGAGTGGCGAGAGGTCTGCGAACATGCACCACCCTAACATCAACTTTCAGAGTCCTCGTCATCGGTGGCGTACGAACTAAAGAGAAATTTAACTGAAACCTGTCCAACCTAACCATCCGACGAATCAACGTAAAAAATACAAGACACGAAGAACGGAAGTTAAAAGAAAAATGTAGAAACCGGCGAAGACAAGGGATGATAAAGTATCGAATACAAGTGACGACGGTTACGGTAGCCATCCACCATGGTAAACGGATCGTTAATCTCCGGTAATTCTCCCAGGCCGATTGTTATCGCGGTACGAACAATATCGAAGTGTTAACCGTGGTGTAATTAATTAACAGAAGAGAATTGTTATAAATTAATCTCAATATAATTACGCGCCGACTAAATAAACGCCATCGTGCCAAGCAGACGTGGTACGCTATCGTCGGTTACGATCGCGCCATTATGTTTATACCCTAATTACAATGTAGCGTAATGCTCCGCGGTGTGAATCCTTGAACGTGTAACACAGTCATTTAGAAATCCAAACAGGCTGCCTTGTCATTTTCCCGACGGTACGGACCCGTTGTTATTTTCAAGGAAACGCGAGAAAATCCACCATAAATCGTTGGTTGCCGGGAACGGGGTTGGTGACGCTGGGAGCTGCAAGGGGGGTTGGGGGTCGAAAGGGGGGTTGGCCAGTAGGCAGAGACGAGTGAGATGTCGACGACGAAACTCGGAATTATCCGCGTAACGTAACACCGGACTGCCTCTGCCCGCGGTACCTTTCCCTGTGTGATAATAAGCGTGACTATTAATTAACGTAATTTATGGCGAGCTGACCGGACATGCATACGCGCGTACGTACACGGTTATGATTCTCATGATTTATTGTTGTCCGTGTCACCATCGCTCGGGGGCGTGGACGTCTGACCCGTGGATCAACGAGTTTTGCGATCGATCGCGAACCGACACCGAGGATTTTCATTCAGGACCATGGAAATTAATTGTGCACTCGTCTGGATCGATTAGGAGACAGCATACGAAAATCTTTAAATAATGGTAGAAACAGTTTGAAGAAACTTCTTTAAAGCGATGATACTCGTGAGTTCCTTAAAATGGTACCAAGTTCCTCAAGATGTTCATCAAAATGGAAGATTCTGATAAGAAAAATTGCAGGACAGGATTGTGTTTTTCCTTCGCCTAAGGATTTGTCCGTAATAAACGGAACGATTTTCCCCGTTTGTGGGGTACGGTATCGTGGAATACATTAGTTTCGACGATTAGGCAGGCATTGTTCCTGCATTTTGTCGCGCGACCATGTTTCCCGGTAGCCGGACGCGATAAAATGTCCATTGCACAGGTGTTTGTTTATCGTGGCACGAAAAAAAAAAGAACGTGATGTCATTGGGCGCAGTCTGAAAAGCATGGTGGATCGTTTGCCGTTTCAATGACTTCGAATACTACGTCGACAGGAAATTACGCTATGCAGAATATTTCATGATCCAGAAATAGATATTTTCGTTTGACTTTTGTACTGAATGCAAGTAATCAATTTGCATCATAGAGGATGTACACACTACCGACAGAGTATTTCGAAGTAGAATGAGTCTTTCAAGGACAGAACGCCGAAAAAATACGCGAAGTAGTCTGGTACGCAGGTAACGCAATGAAGTACAATGTATGGGACCCGAATTTAGTACCTGCTTCATTTATCAGGCGCTGTTCGTAATAAAGAGAAGGTCAGCAGATGTGGACGGTTGTAGGGTTTACCTGAGTCAGGAATGTGACCGGTATTTGGGTTCACTTATTCGTCACTTTTTAAATTTTTATTTCTGGTAGGGGTAGTTCTAGGTCTTCTGAAAGTTGCCGTTTAGTTTCTCGTTATCTATTGAAGCGAACGGACGCAGAAAAGCATATTACGTGACTCAGATAGGTACATACATAGTGAATTTAAAAAGTGAAGTGAATTATTGTTCATACATTAACATTAGAACTACCGACGATAAATGTACTATTTCTCCCGGATCGATAAACATGACAAACTTTTAAAGATATATAAATTTATAAATTAACTAATTTTTCCACTTTTATAATGCAATAAAAATTGCGACAGATCTGAGAAGATGCATTGTTGTAACATTTTAATCGTTATAATAATGTACCAATTATTTCACTGGTTTGGTAGTTCTAGTGTTGAAAATAGTGATCGATATGACAAAACTGTCCTTTGTCAGTGCCAAGAAGCCTTTGAACACTCATAGATGATTTGCCGTATTTTGGTGAGAACACATAAATGATTATAGTCCTAAACTATCCTTTACTTGCTATTGCTATGTTTCTCATTCCTACTTTCTGATCTAACTGCTTAAACATAAGATTTCATGAAAAGACCTCTTGCTTTTATCATTTTTATTGGTAGTATAAATTATGAGACGAAATCGCGACACAGCGAACAAATAAGAAGGTACTCCTAGGAGAATTATGTCGCGTTGGATCGACAGGAATTGCCTCCTTATCACGGATCACAATGTATTCCCGACTGGCATCGATCACAAAGACTAGGCCCGGTAATCATAGTCTCTGATGCAACGTCGAACGACAGGAGTGCATAAAACCAGTCGAGGAAAAAATCACTCGGTGGAAGCCGCCGCGTTTTACGATACATTTTTCTCGCGCCGCGAAAGGTTATAGTCGTTAGCGCGGCAACACAGTATGCAAATCGGACGCTGAAAACTGCTCTCCGCCAACGAGAAACTACTACTTTAGCGTAATTCACACGGGTCATTTGCGCGAACGCCGCGGTGCGTTTCACGTCTCCTTCTCCTAGGCGTAGTCTATTCTATGAAGTCGCATGATCCGCGCGCGTGTTTCGGATCGATCCGATTACATCCAGGGAATAATCGGTCTCCGAGGTAGCAATTTATTGACCTACATCCCTGCGCCTGTGCTGGAACTCATACCATCGCGTATTAATTCAGTTCCGATCGAGAGGAAACTGTGATTTCCATAATTAAGCCTGGATGAAGGAAAAGTCTCTTGGGTTCTAGGAAGTCTGTAGGGTCCAGGTTGGGGGACACTTCAAAGACAAAAGATTTCGCGTTATATTCCAAGTTCTGTGATCGTGAAAAAAAAATAAAACCGGGCAATAGAATGGTTTATCGTCGATCATCGAAGCCAGGCGAAGGATGGCGCTCCGTGCACTTTGCGTGACGAGCGTTCGAACCCTACTTTTCTCATTGTCAGCTGGGATACGAACGAATTCCCAGGATCCGGTTGAGTGGCAGCCGCGCACGGTATCTACGGATGCTATCTACCGACCGGCGAAAACACGACTTCCGTGTAAAATCCTCGGAGGACCCAACTCGGTACAGTTCCCGTCATCGCTACAGCCACCACCATCATCCCTAGGTCCAGCCTCCCGTCGAGATCTAAGCGATCCCGGCGCAGTCCTCTCCTAATCCTTGTGAAAACAACCGTTTAATACCTAATCCATCACCCTGACCCGGGGGCGCTGCCGGGAGGATTGGCCCGCCATTGTCTTTGAACCGTTCCGGATTAATTTGGCCCGCTGGTTAGCTGGCAGGTCGGTGACTAATGTAGAACTCGGTAAAAGTACAAGGTACCCTCGGCTAATTGGATTCTGGTTCCCCAAGGTTTGCTGCGCGGAGCAGCCCTCCTCGTTGGACGGTTCCTTGGACCCGTCGACGACAGGGCAACACGAGAGGATTCAACTTTGGTGATGTTAATGGCTGGTTCATTTGTCCTGGAGACGGAGATTGGGAGATGATAGCGGCTACCACTTCGGATAGCTGCTGCACACCCTTTGGACAGTGGGTGAGTGAGAAATCGTTTGATGAATCGTGATCGTTTGAACGGGTCAGATATTTCTTTATCGTGATACACATATATCTATATGTGTTATTTTCATCATATACTGTCAGCGAAGTGGGGCGATTTTATTAGGGACGGAAAATTCAATGCAGGGGTAAAGTATTGTTTGCAGTAGCAGAAGACAGGGAAATGCAACGAATACAAGTGTTCCATGCACTCGAATCATTTATCAAGCTAGAATAACATCACCCAAAAGTCTTTTCTGTTGATCGATTTTTAATACAAGCAGCATCACGAACGGTAACTTCTCAAATTTCAAGAAAATCGTCTTCCATTCGCGTCACTAAAATCCACAAAGTCACGAACAACGGGGCGTCGGGTGGCCGATGCCCCGCGGAGGATGTGCAAACAATAGCGTGCTCCTTGGTAATTAGCTCGATCGTGATTCCGAAACGATATTTATTATTTAATTAAACCAATCGTCTCCATCAGCTTGTTCCACGACACCGAGAAACAACATCATTACGCGTGGACACAGACCCGCGTTTGTCAGATTCTTGCAATTTGTCGCGCGAATAAACAAGCCTCCGTGTAAGGGATTAATTATTGATGAGTACTATGCCCGGTGCATGATAAACTTGCATTTGTTTTCGCGTATTACTGACGAATCTCGTGTTCGCTATCATTTTCATGCGTCTTTGTACACCTCCACTGTACCCACTTGCATCTAGCGATAAACCGTTATCCTCAAGGCATCGATTTTTTTGCAAACTGGATTATTTTTTAAAAAATTAAGATAAAACAAAATTGCAATTGAAGATGTTACTTTTGATACGAAATAATTCTGTGAACTCTCCCGAACAAAGTGTCATCTTTTTGCTTTTTCATATTTTATACGGAAGGTTTTTTTTTCACCTTTTTTATATAGAAATGTGTATTAAGTAAGTATTCCAACAACTTGATATTCTAGTTTTTCTAACATTTACCATAGGTACTTTTAGAACTGTCATTTTTTAGGATAACTATATCATTCTCGGACGGAGTGTATGCATACTAAATTAGATTGTATAATACAGTGATATACATAATGTATGTATTATAGTATAATTCAACATATAAAACTCGACATAAATGCCGCCAAAGGCACAACTACGTGAAATAAGAAACCTGCAATCCGTCATCTTTACTCTTCTAGTAATCCCAGTATTACGAATCGATGCCACAAATTTCTGACGTACAGATTCTACTCCCTTATAATCCGTTCCAACCTCAATCTATCAAAACACAATCAATCGAATCGCAATAGTATCGTTTACAGGGTCAGCCGTCGATACACGTGAATCGCGTGGCACGTGGCCGTTGATCGATACACGATCAATCGCAATCGTAATTCCCGATTCGACCATAAATACAAAAGGGAGTCGTCGTGGTTACTACATACAATGTCTTGTCCAACGATCGTTCGAGACCCTCGAGCGAAATTTTCTAACCGATCCGGTTCTCGCGCGGAGGAGTTCTTACGTGTCGAAGTGAACCCGTCGCGCGTCTAATGGTTTATGAAAACCGAGCACGAAGGAAATTGTTATCCTAACGAGAGAAAATGACCTATAATCTCTGGACTATTTCCTCGACCGTATCGAAAAACACGATCATTACGATCCCCGCGACCCTTCCCGACGAATCGCGGCCGTATTATTCTCGATGCTCGAGCGCTCAACTTTTGCGAATCCCCGCATGGCGCACCGATACGCGAAAGGGTTAAAGTAAACTAAAAAGAAAAAAGAAAAAAAGTTATGAGAAATGCAAGCAAAATTACCGAATGCATACAATCGTCTGTGAGAGAGAGATTCGTAGGAAGGAAAAAAACGCCACGGGGAAAATATCCAGGGGATGAACCCTTTTCTTTTTTCCTGGCTCCACCGGAATTATTCCGCTTCCTAGTAATTTTCGACATGCCCCCAGCGGCGCAATATTGCCTATAACCGATGCGCTTGCGGGTTTAAGTGCGCCAGGGGGTTGGACCCCGACATCTTGGTGATTTTCATAATGTAGAAACACCGTTCTTCGTATGTTCTGGGGGGACAGGTGGAGTAGGAGGAAGAACGTTGGGTTATATTATTAATTTACGTGCGTACACGGGGGTTGGTGAAGGGCTAAGGGAACTGTCGCCTGGCAGACGGAAACCAAGATCTGTGGAATATTCCTCCGTGATCGATTAGGAATTTGTTAATTGTGGGGAATATTAGCTTAACGATAGGAAGACAAGAGCGAATGTAGAAGTTTCATTCTTCTCCTAAGTGTCTTATTGGGTTCAGAAGAAAACAGAAAACTCGTTGCATCTGATGAATGTTTTCGGAGTCTTGTAGGCCATAAATGCATAAAATCTGCAGACTATTCATTTCATTATTTAGTTTTTCTCATAATTTTATGTTATATAAAATACAAACATTTGACATTTATTTAATAGTTTGCGTTGGGTAGATTTTCCAGAAAGTTAAGGGGATCTGTTAATGACTGTTCTGCACGGAACACAAATGTGATGTAATTTGAACAATAGTATTATGATGTAGAGGAATGCGAGGTTATTTAATTAGAAAGAATGTCGAAAAGTTCCGGCGACGAAAGGACGAGTTGACTCATCTTCTCCGGTTAACAAAGTTCATTTAGAGGTAAAACTTAACCCTGAATTGTGCAGTAATCCGTTTAACCTGTAAACTGGGTAATTTTTTCATCACAAACCAGATGTGGGCACGGTTTAAAACGAATAAAGACGGTTTGACGCATCGTATCCTGCGGACTAGTCGCTTGAAACATGCCCAGGTTTCTACAATCTGTGTCGATACGACAAAATTGCCAAGTTTTTCGGACGTTCTTCCACCAGTAAGAAGGACTAGTCTCCTTAAAATTGAACTAATTGTAATTCAATGAAAGATACGAACAATGAAAATGAAGATAAATGTAAATGACGAATTGACTCATGTTCGAGTTGGATTTCATCTGGAATACAAGAGAAACTGAATTCTTCTATTCACTCCCAAGAAACGAAAGAAAGAGTTCCTCAAAGGATAATCTAGTAACCGAACGCAAACCAATATTCTTCATCGAACGGTGAATACTCTTCATTCTCAAAGAAGTTCAGTGGCAATGTCTGTCAAAGTTCCTTCGTTCGCGTACACAACAAGAGAAATTGTCTCTCTATTCAGCTCAAGAATCGGACAACAGATTCTGTAGAAATCCGATTCTCCACTTCTTACCAAGAAATATTCTTCATCGACCAAGAAAAGAAATTCCTCCATCCGTTCACAAGAAGAAGACCCCGAATCTCTCGACTTATTCTTGAAAAGTGGCGCAGAACGAGACGCATGCCATGCAAACTGAACTTCTCATCGCGCATTGACCGTAATTCTTCATCGAAATAGTCACAGCTCTTTCCTGAACGATCGATATTCCACATCCACCAAGATAGTTCGCAAAACAGAAGTGTGCGCTCGGTAACGAGTAACGCAATTAGCTGACTGGCGATTTCACGCGATGGAGAGAAAAGTCGCGATCGAGTCGCGACTAATGCGATTCCAGGGGAGTAGAATAAGAAGAAGAAGAGGCCAGCGGAAGAAGAAAAGAACAGTTGCGTATCTGCCGGTCTCTGAATGTCCAGAAGCGCCTCTCGAGGACGCGGCCAGCCCGCGAGTCTATTCTCATTCAGGCCAGTAGAGGAGGGGGCCTTTTTGTTTCGTTCGTTAGCCGCTTTGCGGGACTTTTTCGGGTCCCAAGAGGATTCTCTTTCCTAGTCGTATATCTTATTCCGCGGCCACGGCGTTATTGTGCCCGTCCACTAGGCAGGCCGACGACCGACCGCTACCTGCTACTCTAGATTCCCTCTTCCGTTTTCGTTCCTTTTATCTTTTTTTCTCTTTTCGTGCACGCTCCTTCTCGTCGGAATCAGCATAGAGGTTTACGACACCGATTTGGCGCCCCGCGATGACGAATGACGCCGACGCGACATCTCGACACTCGAGCAACAGATCTTCGTTGTTTTGGAATAAATTGGAAGATTTATAGTATTCGAGAATTTCTGGTAGCTAATCTGATGTCGATCTATTCTAACAATGAATATTTCTAATAGCTTAATGTATAGTTTCTCTAATTAGTAGATGATTTCCAACGGGATAGGTTGCATCGTCCAAATTTCTAATGTTGTGACGAAATCTAACGGTGGATGAAGACTCGAGACACTAGAGTAGGCATGAACTGTCATTGATAGGACTTCCAAGTGTTTTCAACTATTCTCACAGGAACTAACATACATCAGGGTCTTCGAGTCCTGGCACAATGGTCGCTTCGCTTAACTCGATAGTAGGCGCGCTATGATCGAAGACTTGTAAAACTTGTCCGAGTGCACAAGGCATCGCCTCACGACGTAAACAACCTCGCGGAAAGCAGCAAGAGTGGAACGCTTTGGATCATATATTTAAAACCATAGAATCGGTCCTAAAGACCAACGCGCGCCTGCTCTTGAGTGACTACACTTACATCTAACTTGTACCCTGAAGAGCTCACGGTGAATAGCCTGAAATCCATACAAAACTGTCTTACAAGACACGTCCAGGTCAGAAGGAACAAAACACCGCCGGGAATTGGACGTTTCAGGGTTCATCCGTTATAGACGAGTACACTAATCTCATCCCGTGAGCACTTCAACCGCTCCAGGTCCCGTGAAATCACTGAACACAGCCGCGATCCCCTCGAGCCTCTCTCGCCATACCTCCGTCGATCGCGTCAAGAACGTTAAACGATCAAACGTTGCACGCGTTTACAAGCCGACTCGAGCGGAAGCGGTGATCTGGCGATTTCCAGGAACAAGGACGGCGACGGCCATCGCCGATCTGGGTTAACTATCTCTATTATAGAATAGTAGGAATAAAAAATGGCTGCGAATACATACAGTTGGGGTACTCACCGTCCTTGGGCGGCGAGGGGCATTGGGGCGCGTACGATCCCAGGTGATATCCGTAAGCGTTGTGCTGATGCATGGGCGCGAACGGATATCCGGCTAGCGCGGACCTAGGACTGGGGAATCCTGCCTCCGCGTGTTGTTGGTTCCCGCTACCGGGGCCGGACGTTTGATGTCCCAACGCGCCGACCTGATGCGAGAACTGATGGGCACCGGGCACATTGTGTCCACCGGGGTAACCGCCCCGTAAACTCGCGGGATTGTACAGATTGTTGTGTTGCAGCTCGATGAAAGCTGATTTCCCGCTCTGGGAGACCGGTGTGCTCGATGTCGTGCTATCGCCGCCGTTACCACCCGGCGGTCCAGGTGTCACCGAGCCCAAACCAGTGTGATGAAGATGTTGCTCCATGTCGGAACCACCGCCACCTCCGCCCGCACCGCCACCACCGCCGCCTCCACCGCCTCCAGATGGTCCACCGCCTCCCGACATGCTGTTCGGGGTCGGGGTACTAGACGGACAGGGGTCGCCCGCCCCGAATGGGCTCCCCAGGTCCGTGAAGTTGAGCGTCGTCGTGCTGCCCGGACGCTCCACCTTAGTCGCGACGTCGATGCCGCCGCCACAGCCCACGGTTCTCGCGGACAAACTCGCCGACGACGTCGTCGCCGCCGCCGTCGCGCGAATACCGTACGGAGCACGAATCTTGGAGCCTCTATGTCACGCTGGTCTTACCCTGGGGGGGTATATCTTTATAATTACGTGGAGAATATTAACAAGGCGGGTAGAGACATTGGGCCCTGTACTCAGGGTATATTTGGCTCCACTGTATCACGTTCCGGTTCTGGTCGAGTAGGGATCCAGAAGGATACTTCACTGTCACGATTGAAGGAACAATTGGACGGTTGTAGATTGTCACTGATCAAACAGTCTCACGTACATATATATGTATATTCACTCTACTCCTGGATGGTTAACTGAGAGTTCGAGTTTGCTCAAGTTGTGTCGTCACTAACCACTTCACCCGCGTAGCCGCGATCCAATATTCGATCCCTTCTTGATACGTATACACAAGATTGTCAAGCACAAATTATAGACTCGTTCGTCACTGTACAAGAGCCGCTGTTGTACCCGGTCAGCTCGCGATCGATCTGTACGGAGCGTCGTAGGTTACGCCGCGGTTACGCGAACTGTCCATCCACATACTGGTTCTTTTCACTTGCGCGACGGGGGTCCCTCGCTCAACGATGGATGCGCGTCACTTCTGTCACCATAGAGAGAGATAAATAAATAGAGAGAGATAGAGAGGGATAAAGCCTCGCGTCGAGATTCGTACCGCACGGATGGATCACGGCACTGACCGAAAATACGCCGCCGCCGCGTACGGTTGCCGGAAACCGACGGCGGTTTGATGGATCCCGGATGAACGGGTGTGTCGGTGGTCCAGCTTCTCCGACGGGAACCGGTAATCTGTGTCGACCCCACCGTCACCGTGACAGTATGTACACTCGCGCGAGAACCGCTGCTCCGGGACCGTGATTTAATTGTATACCGTCGCCGTTGACACAGGCCGTGCGCGCGCGCGCACACGACACACACACACACACACACTCACACACACGCTCGCTCGTTCAGGCCAGCTAGCAAATGCCGTGTATTCCACGCGGGTGCCGCCGGTTTGATTATTCGACGTGGAGGAGCATCGTGGTCGGTTCCCGACGTGGTGTGGTTTGTCGACGTCGTAGGTACGGTCACGACGGGTGTGTACACGCCGGCCAGCGTAGGAAGGAAGAAGAAGAAGAAGACGACGATGACGACGACGACGAACGTACGAACGAACGAACGAAGAAGAGAGAAAAGCACACACGCGCGCCTGGCCCAGTAACTGCAGTGCACACCGCGCGGCGCGGACCGGTATAATGATACATAATGAAGCCGGAGCCTCTCCCCGGAGCCCGGTGCACGGTTTCCTAAAGTCGCCGCTGTGGTGGCGCCACTGAACGCCACGCCCCTCACGCCCGTTACACCGTCGTGCTATTGGACCGCCCGTCTCGCCCCCCACTCCGCGAACGTGACGTCGTGCATGCTAATTGGCCCCGCGGAGGCCATTATGGTGGCCGACTGGGCGGTACCCGCTCCAAGCCACGCCCACACTCTGCCTGACCGCCTCGGGGCATCGTCGTTCGCGGAGGTGTTCTCTCTACCTGTCGGAGGCGCTGGTTTTGCGTTCGTCGTGCGCGCACCTTAACCGCCACTACTCCCGACAGACACCGCCGGGGGTATAGCTCGGGAAGAAACCGAGAGACCCACCGCTCCCGGTCGCTTCTATGGACGAAGCACAGTTTCGCCCACCGCCGAGGCATTCTCCACTGTCCCCTATCGACCGCGAATTCGACGGGGAATTGAGGGTTGAGGGGCTCGGTGACATCTGTAGCGCAAGTGGACTCGGGAGGGATGGTGAAAATATTTGCGCGCGTTTTTATTTCGGTCGCAATTTTGTGCTACTCCGATCTTATAGTTCTTGTGTTGGAATTTATTGAAAGTTTTTTATACTTGTAATTTTTAATAGAGAGCACGGGGTCGCCTGGTAATTTTATTGGAATATGACGATTTTTAGGCGATCTTTTATCGACATCCCTGAGATAAATGTTCTTCTTTGAAATTCTTGGACATCGTGAATTAAATACAGCATTCCGAAACAGAAATGCACATCTTCTCGTGTTTATTCAGACAGGCTACGATTCAAGGGGAACCCCAATTATTCGACACGCTTGCATACAGATAAGGAATTAAGGACGCGCATCGTAATGAAAGATACTCGAATGTCGCCGTGACAGTTTGGCAACAGACGACGTCCTTGGCTCCGCCCATTAACCCACCGCGAAAGGAGTGGACCGCTAGCAGGTGGAGATGGGGCGGCTCGTACGACACGTTTTTCCGTTCCCGTGTACACGCAACGTCCTCCTCCCCCTGATACATCGAATTCAATCTACAGAAAGAAATTTTTTTTCTTCGACGGATCGAACACGAGTTTTTATTAAGTCTTCATAAAACAGTTCTTCAAGGTGTATTTATTAATAACTCTGGCAAAAACTAATCGAGCGATCACTTAGTCGACGAAAAAAGAGGTGTACACTGCATGAAAAACTATTGAATCGCTTTCCGATTCCTGGACAGAGTCAAATGATCTCTTTTCGACGACTGAAAATAATTATCACTTAAATTAAAGATAACTTTTTCGATCTACTTCCATTTTGTTCCAGAGATAACAGATCGAAATTCAACAATTGCTTTATCGTACCTCCTCCAAAACTTCTCGAATTTGTTTTCCAATTTTCCCCGAGTCTATTCTCAAGGTACATACATTGAAAATTGCATACCACGAATAGGTGTAACGCGGTGCTGTGACCCAAATATTCTTCGAAAGATGCCAATCTTGCGAGAGGTCGCATTATAGGTAATAGAATTTTTTATCTGGCCAATTTCGCGACACGTTAGAATCCAAAGGGTAGCAGAGCACGGTCGAGGGCGGGAAAAAAAAATTTCACCCGGCGAGCAAATTTCGTAACGCGACAGGTCTTTTCGCTGATCGTATCTGCAAATACAGCCACGGTAGACAGGTGAAGGCGCGGAAAAAGGATCAGATCCCATACGCGGATAATCCGTAGCTTACCTGCACGCCCACGAGCTACCTTTGTCTTCCAGTTCAATTAATTTAATGTAAATAATTTCGCCTCGAATACCCTGCAATTTCATAAGATCGACAAATCACTTCCGTTTTCGCACACTTCGCCTCGCAACCAGTATTATCCCGAATCATCCAGGGTGGGGGGCGATATTTCGCGATCTCTTTCTGAAAGTCTCTGAAGGTAAAGCTTCATCGCTTAAGGTCTCATAAAGTAAAGCTTTATCATTTAAGGTCTCACAAAGTAAAGCTTTATCACGTAAAGTAATCATCTTCAAGTTCAACATTGTCTAAACCGTTCCTGCTCTCGTTTGATAGTTTGGATGTGCGTTATTGGGCCTCGTTACGGGGCGAGATTGAAGCTGACAAGATCAGAGCGACAGAAACGGGTAATTACGTCGAAAGTCTCGGAACGACTGGGAAACGACATGTTCCTCGTCGACGTTCAGGTTTTATCTGATCGTTCCTAATCGTCTTCCCAGAACAGACTCCTTTTTTCTTCCTATCCTTCGACAATTTTTTTCATCGTTCCCTCGATTCATTGTTTACTATCGGCCCCGCGGCGATCATAAGTTTACCCAACCGCGTAATTGACAAATGATTTTAATTAACGAGCAGGGTTGCTTCTGGGGCAACGGAATGAATAAAGAGAGAGAAAGAGGGAGAATCGCCGATGGAATCGAAAGCAGAACGGCTCGCTCGACAGACCCAGTCAACGCGGGGACATTTCTTCGGCCGAATGATAATTACGCCTAATCAGTCGGCGAGCACGATTACCGAGCTCGACCACAGGTATCGTCTCCGATGATACTAGTTACCGAGATAATACCCCGTTCATTAACATTGCATCACGCTCCACCGGCGCGCGCGCACACCTACTCGATACTTCAATTACAACGAATATTTATTCCCAATACCGTCCGTCTAACCACGTGAGATTAATCGCCACCTGTGGGACAATATGGAAAATGGTTTCCATGTAAGCAACTCTGTGATTCGTCTTCCACAGATGAGTTCATCTTGTTCCTCTTATAATCAACTTCACCGACCTAATATCCTGCATTGTAACGAGTACCAATAGATACATCTATAAATTCTATAATCCCCTTTTGTTAGCTACCAGCTTTCGAGTTACCATTTATTAGATAATTAACAGTTACACATTCCTTCCACAAACATTACGATAAAGCGACCCATTTCTGATATCGACCTAAAGTGGACCAAAGTGATTCAATTCGGGAGCAACTGGAAGGGTTCGAACAGAGACACGACGATTTTTATCAGTGGGTCAAAGTCTCGAGGAGAACCGGTCCCGTGGGCCGATTGCATATCCGCCGATGGATAAAACCGGATGCAAAAATAGCCACGGTGAACTGGCCGACGGTGGTTGTGGTACTTAAAATCGAATTTTTCTACGTCTCCCAGAGAAAATCACTTCCCTCTTGGTAATACAGGGGTATACCTGAGCGCCCTCAGGTACGGCACTAGGCCAAAAGAGCGTGGCACGCTCTTACAGCGCGAAATTACATTGGGGGGCTAATTGCACGGCGGCGGTAGCGCAAACACGTGTCATCAGTTGACCACCACCACCACCATCACCATCGGCATTGGTATGGCCAACACCATGTCCATGGTGGGTAGCTGCGCGCGCGCGCGAGCGGTTGGTTGTGTACGGTGAATTACGTAATTGAGGTAAATGGTGGCTATCCAAAGTGCGGGGAACTGTGCTAAATAAAATGCCATTCAATTAGGCGACGAGAGAGAGAGAGAGAAAACCGGCGTGGACGTTGGCCACCGACGATTGCGACCG